ACGTATGTTATTTTAAGATTTGAGAGTTTTATAAATACCTTTTTGATGAAATTACAGTGGAAATAATATTTTAAAATTATGAAAAAAATATTTGAAAATAATAGAAACGTTTATAATAGAGAAATAAAATATACTAGGAGTAGACTGGTACCAATGGGTAAAAAATAATAACAATAAGGCCACTCCACTTGCCCTAGAAACCATGTTTTCTTATCAAACCCAATAAAAACCCATGACCCGTAGTCTCAAAGCAAGGGCTCTTGATTGACTTGTCAAAGTCAGACAATAAACAGTGGGATCATGATCCTGGAATGTGGATTTCAGTTCTCCCTTTTAATAACAAGTGCAACACTTGTCACACCACAGCGCAAAGGGGGCTCTCTTTATGCACATGTACACGTGTCTCTCTATAGGACTGCTTCCTAGTAATGTGGCTATTATGTGTACATGCCGTGCAGAAGTTTGTTGAGGCTTTGACCCATGCTCTCACAGGCTTAAAACCGTATACATGAGATACATAGTTCTACTAGCCTACAAACATAATCCCTGGGCATCTCTCTGACCTCAACAAGGGATAACGTACTACAAACCCTTCTCTATAGTGCCACCTCCTCAGGGCTAATGCTTTTGGACATGACCAGGGCCATGAACTGCCCAACCCTTAGTCAGTCAACACATACACTCTCACTGAAGTGCATATTCTACTGTAAATGTCATTTTTACAAGATCTCTATACCTTTAAAGGCCACAAAACCAATATGAATACCACATATTTGATTACCATTCTGAACAATTGTTGTTGTTATGATCATCCTTCAGTTATCACATGAACAAAGTGAGTATATACTTCGGAACTTTCTTGAAACTCATGATTGGAGCTTGTGTCAAAAACATTGTTTAAGGTTATTCAAATGCCATTTTGGTTACTGTAGAACAATACCATGATCTATGAAATTCTAATTCTGATATCCTTAAGGAATTAATTGAATGTAAGGTTGTTGGAAATAGAAGACATTGCTTCATGATCCATTTCACCTAGAGCATACCATTTTGTATGGCGGTCCACTTCTTCATCTGATTTTGTTTTTGAGATAATACATAACCTTTAAAACACATTGAGTAGTCAAGCTAGTATTTAAATACCTACTAATGACCTCAAGTGGAGCATGTTTACCTCCCCACTTTTATGGCCATCTTTTGCCACTTTGTGCGATGGCTTCTGTGAAGTTCTGGCTATTTAGCAGCACTATCATAATCCATTTGTGTGTCACTGGATGTCCACTTTTCTTTTATATGGTTTCTCTACATAAAATCCTCGAAGACAGTGCAAAGCTCACTAGATTATATTGTACACAGGTCAACAGTTTCCTGTGTTCTGAGGCAGACTTTGTTGTAGAATCCAGTTTCAGTTGCATGTATTTCAGTCCTGCATCTCTTTCCAAGAAGCACTTGCAAATAATTTGTATTGGACATGGATTTCTGAAAAGTCAAGATATATGCTGTGGGAATATCTCTCTTGAAAATTTTTGTCGGAAATCACATCATGACCTTTCTTAACCATTGTGGACCTATCATATCTGTCATGATGCTTCTGATTTTGTGATCGATCAAGGTTTTTGGAAACTATGAAATTCTGGAATTTTCCACTAGGTTTGATGTTATGCTTCATTACCAATGCTTCTTAATTATCGCAAATCCATTTGACTGGTACAAGCTGTCGTTATCAGCTAGGCCCTTGATATGTCATCTTTAGTAGATTAGTAATGTGCCTAGGATTTTCATTTCCTATTCACCAGGCAAGACATATGTGGGGTTTATAGCAACCTTATGTTTTTTGAGGTCTTTCGTGCTTTATCATGCCCCCTACATCATTACATCAAACTATTCTAGATGGACAAAAAGTGTGTTACCCTGAGCTCATAAAATGGTTTAAGTGCTGCACGGACAGCCGACACAGTCAGATGTAAACGTGGTTGGGGTGTCCTATTGTTGTTTTCATCTATGTATCTGACCAGAAAGTAGGTCTCCACTTTTGTTGAATGGTGTGGTCACTTTTTATTGTTAGGATTTTCATTTATTGCCTGTATAAATGGCTTGACATTGAAGTCCAACATTTTTCATATGATTTGGAGACAAATTGCAACTTGTGTTGTTGGATACACATGAAGATTGTTGCAGGCGTTACAAGATGGTTTCATGGTTGTGCAGGTATGGCAACTCCATGTTTCAGAGCAAATGATTCTGGATGATGAAGAGAAGAACCCTGATAAATATAAGAAGGGGAGCTCAACACCCTCTCCTGATTCAGAATCTGTTGCTAGTGATGAAGACAGTGTTGAATACTCTGAGGGTTACATTGGAAAAGCTTTAGTTCCTAAGATGATTCTGGTATTTCTCTTTGTTTCTGCTGGCACAGTGGAGCTCTTTTTTCTTATCTCTTTGAGATTTCATGGACTGAAAGAGTCTAATTTCATTCTAACTGGCCGTTTTTTTATAGAGAACAAATATAAAAGAGTTGGACTTGGACGCTGCTCGTGCTGAACGACAGGTGACAATACTGTCTTTAATATTGTCTTTATTTACCATAATATTGGTACAATATTGGAACCTCAGATGCTTCAAAACAAATTCACTAGTTCACTAGAATGATTTTGATCCACTTCAATTCTATTTTTTGCTTCAACAAAACTAAATAATATCGAGTTGTAATAATGCCTGGCGAGTTTGAGTCCTGCCCTTGAATTATCCAAAAAAAAGAAAAATTAAGTAATATTGAGTCAAAGGGATTAGAAATGAAATAAGTGTAGGTGACTATGGGGAACATCAAATAGGGTTCTAAATCAACTGCACTGTTACCAACTGCACTGTTATCTTTTCTTTTATAGTCCATCTCTAATGACTGTGATAGCACTTGGGAGCAAATTTGCTGTGAAGGCTATTATGAATCATGATAGTTCTAGCTTTACAGGTGTGAGCATAAGTGTGTGTATGAAGGATGAGATTCCTGGCGACTTTGCTAATGTTTTAATGCTTCAAGCAGCTCAACAACAAACTTAAAAAGGAAGCAGAAGCAAGAGGAGAAGAATTCAGAGTATCCAAATTGCGGAGGCATCACGAGATGGATGAATTGGATCTTATCCACTGGCGCCGCTCATTAGAGGAAAGAGAAGCTCTAATTAGAGACATCAGTTGGTATTATTTCTAAATTTCCCTGGGCATTGGAGTTTTATTTTAAAGTAATAAGGTCTAGAACTTAGTTAATAGAAATGCGCTCTATGTTATGGAGCTTTTTCTTATCTGTTTGTGGCATTATCTTATTCAACTGTTGTATATTGGCTGTTGTTTTCATTCTCTTAAAAATCTTGCAATGAATGTACACTTTTCACGATTTGTAGAAAACTTGAACACTTCTCTACCAGTAATTTAGCTTGGTTGAAGATGTAGCAGCTTATGTCCAGAAGATAGTGCCTTCATCATTAGAACTCCATGCTCTAAATATCTAATGTTAGAAGATTTTTGTACATCATGAGGTTTCTGATTCTTTTCTGATCTGGTCGAAGAGGATCCATCTCTTTTGCTGTCTATGAGAATTAGGTAGTCCGAAGTGAATCACCAAATTCCATGCATCAGCCAGACTCAATTTTGGCTTCTGCACATTTCATAAGACTCTGAATTACCTGTTCTTCATCCTATTTTCAATGACCTGATCTTCTAGATGGGTCCAGCCCAACTGTATAATTTAATTGTAGGAAAATTGCTTGATATAGCATAAAAGTAACAATGTTTACTCTCTCATACAACCTTATATATGGGATGGTACAATGCTTTTATCTAGTAAAACAAAAAAAGGAAAAGAAATATACTTTTGGCAATCTGAAAACGCTCCAAAAGGTTGATGCTTTGTTATTTATGATTGCCGATGATTTCCCTAAAATTCACATGTTTATTCATGCTACTTTCATCTGCCCCTTGTGATCCAGAAGTTGACGCTTCAGGCAGCTCTGCTGTGCTTGGTGAAATGCTAGTAGAGGATTAGATCATCATTATGACCATTTAAAATTTGTGAGGTTTCCCACACAATCGCTGATCCTAGTGTAATTGTGAACCGTACACTTGGTGGCATTCCTGCTGCCAAAAGTGGCGGTCTCTTCGGAGTACCTAGACATTCTCTTTAACCTTCTCCTTCAATACCCATAAATGTTTCCTAGGTTTTCTTTGATGTAAAAAGTTGTAGCTATTGTCCAATGTTTGTGAGACAAAGCTCTGTGAAGGTTATTAACTTGGACAAGTAGGTGAAGGAAGCCCCTGTTCCAGTGAGAACATAAGAATATGTAGAAAATTCTCAGTAACCTAATATGCAATAAAAGGGTCTATATACAATTTTGCACTGGGCAGGACAGATTTGCCCATACTACAGAGTACATGGGGAATATGGTCTTGGACAGAGGGCAAATATCGAGATAAAGGAGATAACTTCTATTTTACACCCTCTCGAAGTGATGTCCATAGAAAGGGAGCATCACTTTACCTAAAGTAGAATTCTCTTCTTATTAACGGGTTTTCTTGAAGGTGTCAGCAATCTATTTCATCAATGTGGCTTAGAGTGTGGATGGCGTGCTGTTGAGCTGGCAGTTGCTGTTTTTTGTGGCTGCCAGGCTTATCCCCTCTTTTGATATACTGAAACTAATGTTAATGAAATTATAAGGTGCATATCAAATGGCTATCCCATTTTGCAAGGATGAGAAGGACCTTGATCATTCGAGGATGTCCATTTGGATTGAGCCCCTTGGTAAGGTGGAAGCAAGGTTGAAAGGCCATGGGCCTGAAATTTTTGTGTGAACCAAGGATGGGCGCATGCCCACATTAGGGTGTTGATACATTATGAGACACAAGACCTCGATTCTGGGCAAGTCCGTGATATTTGGGATTTTGATTAGGGGATTTAGGGAACTTATTTTTTTTTTGGACAATTTGCTTCCCGATTTAGGGAACCTAATTCCTCGTAAATGGAATCCAAATCTCTGTCAAAAATCATGGTTCTATGATCAAGCAGAACCACGACTCTACCAACTTGGAATCGTGTATCCTACACTTTGGGTGCAAGTAACTAGCACATCTTGGTCCAACTCACAGTGGAGTATGGATCTCCAATTTTTTAATACCGAAAAACTTTCTAAACACCATGATGTTCTACATATCATGTACACACTATACACACCTTGTGATTTGTGACTCGTGCTTCAAAGAAAGGCAACAAGAATGGGCAAGAAGAGAGAAGGAAGAAATTGGAAGGAGACAAAAATTAGTCGTGTTACGGTTCTTTTCAGGAATGAGGATGTGATATATACACTTCACTTCATTGGGGCTAGTTCATTGGTTCATGTTTACCTCCTGAAGGACTTCTATCATTTTGGTGTTGGTCAACTAATTCGAGCCACCTGTGGGCTTGCCTTACCAGTGATAGAATAAAATGTATGCTTTGAAAATGTGAGCTCCCTCTCGCATATGTCATTGAGCCCCTAGCAATCCTCAATAGAGAAGAGCTATTGGGAATTATATACGGCAATGTTTTTCCTTTTCCTTGTTTTGCAAGCAGAGTTAGCTATTATGGCATTTCTTTTTTGAAAACAAAGTCCCACAGCTTTCCTAAATGTAATTATGAATCAAAATTCAATGACATGATTCTTGTTTACATTGGTACTTGGGTTTGTGAATTTGGATAAAGATAAACATATTGTTCATTAGAATTCGCTCCTAAATTACAATAGAGGGGTTGTGAACTTTGGGAATCTTGACCTACGCCTAGCGAAGCACGATCCAACTTGTTACGAAACACGGTCCTTTGCATATAAGAATCACCTCCAGTGCAGATATGGAACACATTCCCTGATAGCAATGGAACTCTGTCCTTGTGCCTGACCATGTACGAACCTCGTCTACCTCACTCTGTGCTCCCGCTCCAAATCCCGTATCTCTTGACGCTCCCGTTCTGGGTAACCATGGTCATACCTAGTTGTGTTGCCACATCACCTACTATTGGTCTTCGACTTTGAAATTCTTCGTGTTGAACTCTTAACAGTTGAACAGAAAAACCTTATATGCTTTACAACGTAAATTTCGGACACACTGGGGGATGAAATTAACTGTTTCTCTTTTACATAGTAGATGCCTATCCAAGGTAAACCCTTAACTAGAGTAGTTCAAAAGTACTGGCATGAACGAATGCAAATTTATTCACAGAATGCTGGTTGGGAAATTTTATTTATTCAACTTATATGATAAAATCAGCGGATACATAATAAAATCGATAGAATCTGCATTCCTGTCCATGAAAGCAACTTTGTACTTCTGTGAATTTGGTGCCAGCTAATTCATTGATACAATGTGCATAAATAATTCTATTTCTTTGCACTGATTCTAGAGTTTAGTTGGTTTGGCTCTCAATAATCTGGTCGTTCACTTCTTGGAAAAAGTAACTTTGTTAAAATTTGTGAATATGCATTACGACCAGACTTATCAACATACTAGGTGTGTTCAGTTAAGACAAAGTAAGGCTTAAATGTAAAGTACAGTTAAGCCTTGTCCAAGTACTCTACTTACGTTTGATCCACAAGATTTAAATTCATACTTTCCTGACGCAGCAAAAAAAGAGAGTTCTTTTTTTCATTGTTCTAAATCATAGTTTAAAAGAACACCCTTTGGGGAAGTCTTCTTGATTTGCAGAAATGGCAAGTGAAGTATTTGCATGTTACAGTAAAGTTGTTAGTTTTCCGTTTTGCATGTAACCATGCATGAGCAGAATCTGAATTCCAGTATGTCTACATAAACAATACCTCCAGCATGTTGCTGTCTAGCATTTTCAATTTGAGTCTACCTAGGGCTGCAAAATTTAAAGCTTTGAGCCTTCATGTTAATATTCCTTGGTGTTATGGTATCTTGGAATATTTTATGCGGATGATTTTCTTTTAAGACTTTCTTGTCGCCCTTTTCTTACTCGTCATGGTACTTGCTGTTACGCAGTCGTCGTTCTCTTGGCCTTCCTGTGGAAGAGCCGGGGAGGTATGCAGATGATAACTTCTTTGGAAAGGACAGTTACGACCCCACAAGTCCCTTGTATCGTTATGACTACTGGGGGGAGCCCAAGAACTCAGAGAAAAGCAGAAAAGAGAGGGAAACTGATACCCACAACAAATCAATTGTAGGGAGAGGGACAGTTTGGTATGAGATGTCTTATGAGGATACCATCAGACAGCGGATGCAAAGGGAAGCTCGAGCCAAGAGGATGCAACCCAAAGAGGCTGAGGCTGGCCTAAAGGATGAGGATTCAGATTCGAATTCTAATTCTGATACTTTCATAAGGATGAGTGGTGGTGACAAGAAGAGCTCATCATCGAAGACGCCCCTTGTGAATGGGACCGAATCCTCTAGCTTGTCAGATGAAGGCATGTTTGGAAATTAATGTAAACATTAAATGTTTTTGTGGTAAATCACTTGTCTGTGACATGAGAAAAATCTCTTATTTATGACTTCCATCTTCTCCTTAAAGTCTGATGACTATAAAATACTGTAACTGAGTATTGCTCCATTTTTAATTGAGGGGCATAGAAGGCATTTTAAACAATGGAGCAGTGTTACATGGATACGGGTGTCATATCTAATATGTGTCAAGTACTTTAATATAAAAACCTAGTATGGCCACGATACGTCTGTACAACTATATATATATATGGAAAGGATGAGGAACGCCAGCTCGTGTATAGGCTGTGTGTACGCCCATCGGTCTTGATTTCCCATCCTCCATCTGACGGTCCTTGTTCTCTTTTAACTCTCTCTCACTCTATTGTTTTAAATTAATGCCTTATAACATATTGCAGAGGACCTGACACTTTTGAGACTCTTGCTTCCTCTCTCTATTCACTTTCTATTTCAAACTCCGGCTGCCTCTTGCTCTCTCCGCGCTCTCCATTTTAGCCTGCTCCGCTCTCTACTCTCCATTTCCGCCAATCTCTCACCCTCCACAATCCAAGGAACTCTCTCTCCATTGTGCCCCTCTCTCTCCCCCCGGTTGCCTCCTCTGTCTCCATCTTTCGCTCCCTTCCCTCTCTCTCCCATTGCCTCCACCCCCCCTCTCTCTTCTGTGCCTCCTCCATACCTGCCCTTTCTCACTCACCATTGCATCCTCCGCCCTCTCTCTCTCCCCTGCTGCCTCCT